GTGTGTGTGTGTGTGTGTGTATATATGTGTATATATGGATATGTGTTTCACTATATTATGAATTGTATTATTCAGATATATTTATATAATATCCAGTATATTTATCATACAAGCTGAATGGTAAGATGTATGGCAGGCACTTTGATCATATAATACTCTGACGTATCGTTCACACCTGTCATAATACTACAGTTATGTAATATCCAGTATATTTATCATACAAGCTGAATGGTAAGGTGTATGGCAGGCACTTTGATCATATAATACTCTGACACTTGTGCCTGCTGTTGCAGACCTGCGAGCAGAGCGGACGACTGGAGAGAGCGGGACAGAGGAGAGGGTTCTGGGTCAGTCCGGCAGAGCTCAGTTCATCAGAACCTTTGTGGTTCTGATGAACTGAGCTCCATAAACCTGTTCCTCCAGGGTTCTGGACCATCCTGGTGCTGGCCGTGCTCGTAGGGTGTTTCTGCTGCGTCTTCTCCTGGACTCTCACCTACCTGGACTCGAAGCGGCCCGGCGTGATGTCACCCGCCCTCAGGTACTCGTGAGTCCACATCCAGGGCCGGTCCTTACCAGAGGGGACTTTCTAATCAGCTGTTCTGGTCTTGCAGGGATGGACCCGGGTTCAACCACAGTTCTGGGCTGGCTGCTCTCAGTGGGGTCATGGCTGTGCTCACAGTCATCTGGACCCTGACCTGAAACTCTCAGCAGGACCTGGTCCGGTCTTTGTCTAACTGCAGAGTCCTCAGAGTTAAATAAAGTCTCATGTGATCCAGACTCTGTGGTTTTGTTGACATTAAACAGTTTAGCTCCATGACTCCTCTGGTACCGGACCTGATGGTGCTGAGGAGGAGGCCTCAAAGGTCCAACAGGCTCCGAGSTTTTACCAGAGACTTCACCAGGTCCAGGTCCAGGTCCAGGTGTCCCTCTCAGATCTTGTTCTTTCTACAGCTGTCAGTGTGTGCATTTATAATATTTACCTGATTTTCAACATTTTAAACTCAAAAATCAAAGACTTCAGAAAATATAATCATAAAAATATTTATTATAAAATGTCAAAAACAGACAAAATATAACATATTTGACAGCTCTGCTTGTTTTCTATGATTCATTTAATGAAACAGCCACAGTTTCAGATGATGAATAAATGTAAAATAAACACATTCAGCAGAAAACTCATTAAAGACTTATTAAAACTAATAAGGTCAGAGGTCAGGAAGTGACTCCTGGTAACCAAATGTGTTTGATAAAAATTACACTTGATCCTTAAACATCTTTAACTGTTAATAAGTGTTGAAAAACTGCAGCGTTTTAATTAGCTGTGAAACATTTAGTTTTCACCTGTTTCTGCTTGGTATTTGGTCCTTTCAGGCACTTCCAGTAAAACCGACACATTAAGTGCACACAGTCTGCAGCAGACTCTCATAAAGTGACAATTAAATYAAATAAAATAATAATAGTGCAATAAAAATCTTTACTTTGAAAACTGGGAGAACTGAAGTTTAGCTTGTTTCAGCTGAAGGTGCTAAAACTCCAGTCTCCTGAGCAGCTGGATAAATGATCTGTGTGATTATGTTTCTGTAATAAACAAAGCTTTTCTTCTTAAACGATTATTGTTCAGTTTGATAATCAGTTGTGTAACAACAGGTTTGACCTTTCAGTAGGTTTTTGTTCAATCTGAACCCTCTCAGACGAGCAGCGTTAGCGGTGCTTTAGGTTTTTGTCTGAGCTCGTCACAGCTCAGTGCTCCTTCAAATGGCCACACCCACTTTTGGGGGGAACCAAATAACCCCGCCTTCTTTTGGGTAAAAATAACCAGTGGGGCAAACTAAACACAACACTGGTGTTAACATTTTAAATTGTGTGTCACATTTTGCTCAGCAGAAACAAACTGGCAAATGATTTGTTCCATGACTGTGTTTACAGTCAAAAATAACCAAGTATTATAAGATACTATAAAATAGTATAAAATAATTCTACTTTTTAAAAGGTAAAATTACACTAGTTTGAGTAATCTTGAGTTGTACCATTATTATTATTATTTTTTATTAAATCCTACAGTTACATGAGCCTAGCGAGAAGGATGCTAGCTCGGTTCATTCATCCAGTTGGTTGAGCTGCAACAAATCAAAGCTTCTCTATAAAACACTGACCAGCAGTGACCTGAAACCATTAACCTGACAGACCATAATACTAAACACTGAAAGGCTTTAAAGCAATAATATAGTTGTATATAACACTGACACCACAGATGCTCTGACTCCTGACAGTCAAAGTGTGTAGGAGGATTGTTTTCACTCCAAAATCGGCGGAGCCAGTGCATCATACGGTGGTTTTAGTGTCAGGACATGTAAATGAACTGTTGTCTCTACGGTCCGACACATTCAGGTCTGTTTTCAGTTCTCAGGCCTTACATATCAGGACCTAATAAACTGATGTGGTCTTCAGAGAACACATCCCGGACCATCAGAGAACACATCCCGGACCATCAGAGAACACATCCCGGACCATCAGAGATGTGTGCCGACCCCAGAGACAAGAGTTCAGAGTTTTAGCTTTTACTGTCTGGTTTTTACATTGAGACATTGAAACATCTTTGGTTGGTTGAATCCACCGACGTGAGCTCAGGTCCTTTAGTTCTTCAAGTATTGTCTCTTAAGTTAATTTATAATATTAATATATTAATATTTTTCTAATTTCAATCTATTTTTACATCTGATTGATGACAGGACATTAAGGTAAGGGCAGGAACACAGACTGTTCAAATTGACAGACACTGTTCTGGTCTTCACAGCTGAGAAAGGACCACCTAGACCAGGTAGGCCGGGTACTTTGAAGGATGCAGCCCATGTTAATGTGTTAGCACAAGCTAAAGTAGCTTAGCTAATGTAGCTTGTGTCCAGCAGCTGTGAGGAACACAGTGGCTGTGTCCAAAACAGCAGGCCGGGTCCTCCGAAGGCCGAATTCGTCAGCCGCTTACGTCACAGCGCCGCGACGAAGGACGCCCAAAACCGAAGACTCCTCCAATGCGGCCGACAAATACGTCCTTCCTTRGGCCCGAATCGAAGGACAGGTCCGATGGATCCTTCCAGCATATCCCATAATGCATTGCGGCCTGACCAGAGATTTTTTTTAAGCTAGTAATGGCGGACGAAGCGAGTGTCGTCGCATGATTTACCAAGAATGCAGAAAGACGGAATAATGCACAGAAAGTCTG